AGCGTGCTGCCAAGGAGATACGAAAGAGCGACCGGTTGGCGGTGTATCGCGTCCCGACCCGGCAGGCTGGTTCTGGTCCAGCGGGGTATTCCGGGACACCAGCGGCACCGTCTGGGCGGCCTGACGGGCTGCCGTACCGAAACGGCCGACGTTTCGACGGCGAGCCTTCGATTCGCCTCGAAGGCTCCATCGGCTGGGCGTCCTTGGACTGAGCCGCGCTGTTTGGTTGTAGTGTTGACCGCGGTAACCCCCCTACCTCATCCGGGTTCTGACCTCGGAGGGGATCGGACATCGGGTGTAAGAGTGCAAGGGAGTCGTTTAGTGGGTGGGCCCTAAAATTCCTAGGGCCCGCGGTCTGCTCACAACACCATGCAGATCGTTGAGTCTCACAGGGGCGCGCGGGGACCTCGTAGGAGGTACGGCTCCCGGCCCGATCGCGGGGTGTATGGTCGGAAGGCGAGACTCATTTCGGGGTCATAGTGCTCATATAGTAGTATCACTACGTACTTTACCCTTAATTAAATAACGCACAAATAAAACAGTTAAGTAACATTTTCTCCTCCGTTTCTCGTCAACCCATTTCCTTTTTTCTTTGTTTAGTTGCAATTGACGAGCTTAAATTTTATCAGTATTTATTTTGGATATTGAAAATTTACTCGGTGGTGCCGAAGTTAGCGCCCCTAACCTCTGGGTCGAGGGTCGTGGGTATCCATCCGCGGGTATCCCGCGTCGATTAAACATTAATGTGATGAACGTATATGTTTGCTCTTTGTCTGGGTTTTTTTTATTTTATTTTTTTTATTGCCTTTGTAAGCTAACGAGCATACGGCCCACCTGATGGTAAGTGGTCACCGTTGCTCATGGACGTCAGCAATGCCAAAATGGTGTTTAATATCTTTATGTGTATATAGGCTTAGAGTTATATATAAAAGTGTGTATATCGTCTCCAGTTCCCATAATACAGGGAATCCAAATTTAGATGGCTGCGAGCTTGTAAATTCTAATATGATCGCCTTAGTCTATTGGTCTAGTGGGTATTGACTTTGATGACCGAGTCAGCATTTTTGTTAAAGATATTTTGGTGTTCAAATCCGGACCTACCCGTTTTGTTCATCACCCACAGTACGGGTGAAAATCTTTATTAAAACAATTTCAGACGCAACGATCTGTAGCTGGGACAGCTTACAAAAAAATTAATGGAAATAAAAATATAAATATATTCGCTCTTCTTAATTTCAAATGTCAAATTTCAATGTTTTATTTTGTACGTGATTACCAACCTACAGCTTTTTATTTCATTATTTTGCACAATATTAAAATCAAATATTCAACATACAGTAAAAACTAATTGAATCTTCTTCAAACGCGCAATGAAAAACAAAATAAAAAACCTTATTTAGTCTAAAATTACAAACTTCATTGAAATTATCGAAACGCGTAAGTACATTTCATTTAATCCCTAATTGCATTGAAAACTTAATGTCGATATCGATCACAATTATTTTGTGTATTTAAAAACATATTTTTTCTCCTACCAGGCCAAAAGTTCGATAAACTACTACTAATTGAATAAGAACTGTCTGATGAACTCATCTTTGTTTGAACTTCACTATTAAATTTTATTGCCTTTTGTTTATTTCACTTTTACACTAAACATAATATTGCAAATTACCCGAGCACAACAATGGCGGAGAATTTTAAGTGCGTGAGAGCAGACGTAGACACTAACGCGCATGCGCACTTGTCAGTACCCAGGGAGGAAAAGTTAGACTTTCTTTCCTGTACAGCGGGAGGAAAACCGAACTTTCAGCGTATGTAGGAGAAAAAATAGTATGTGCATCAAGGGAGAAAAGTTGGACATTTCCTCCCGTGTGTAAAATTGTGTGGCAAGCACGCGGGATGTGATGTATGTACTATTTTGCATCATATCAAGAAAATACGAGAATAATGAGATATGTCTGTTCACCAACCAGTGAATAGTGAAAATAGACATTCCGCTGAGACTACCTAAACGTTGCTAAACGTTATGTTGTTAATATCACGCGCGTACGCAGCGCACCGCTGATTCTCCGACACTCTGGAAATGGATATACTCCATGATGGTTTGCAGTGATTTAGAATTGTTGCTAGAAATTACTTAAGCTAATATTATTAATACCTTACAAATGTTTTGGTTATACTGTTAATTTGTAAGAAGACTAAAATAAATAAATAAATCACGACATGAATCCTACTACCGACTTTGAACCACTATAAAATAAAAATAAAAACTAAAATGCAATACGACAAAATGTCAATGTAAATTAACAAAAGGAGGAAGTAGGTACTTACTCTAATTCATCAATATCTTCATAGTAACGTGTATTTTCAGAGTCCGACTCATCAGAGTCGTCGATAACTTGTTTGAACGAGGGCGCCGTGGCAACCATGTCTCATTTAACTAAAATATTTTATGAAAACATTATATGCACACTTTGATACCATTAATTGATAACGATATTAGTTAAACACAAAGGAACTTTTCAAAGAACCGAACACGACTTCATTGCCCTACAAAATTTACTTACTACTCAATACATCAAGAAAGATAATAAGATAAAAAATAATCGACAAAACTAGATTGGGCATGTTGTACATACCATCGAAAACCATAATCCACAAAGCACTGATTTTCACAATATGTAATGAATAGAAAGTGTTATCACAGGGAAGTCAGCTTTGAAAATATCAAAAAAGTACCTTCTTTATTCGTCATATCAAATAACGGTCATAACAAAAAATATCGCAACTTGATCAAAAAAGTTATTGTTTATCACAGATCGCATTAAATTTGTCGTGATTGCGATTGAATTTTAATTCAATGTTATCATACAATATCACTCTGACTCAAAACTTATCAGTTAAGATAATTAGGATTACCATGTACTCGGCATTTGTTTTTATTCTATATACCTAAACCAAGATTCTTCGGACGAGTAATGAAAGGTTCCGTAGTATGGAACGGGCGTTATGTCCACATAATAATATACATATATTACAATCGAAACTTTAGTCTCAAAAGGTGGGTTTCGATTTTTGGGCACCGGTAGGTACCTAACCAATAAATTTAAACAAGGTAGGCCGTGAGTAAGTTTCGTACGGTTATAATTTATATAGCTTAAGAAAAAGCGGATGTAATAATTCATGTAACCGAAGATACCGCATACCTTCAACCATTTAATACAACTATTCTACTCGTGTAGGAAGAAGGCGTTGCTTCATCGACGACTTCAGACCGCAGCTACCACCATAGGACAGTGGTTCCGGAAGTGGCGCATCGACATCAACCCCACGAAAAGCACAGCGGTACTCTTCAAAAGGGGTCGCCCTCCGAACACCACGCTGAGCATCCCTCTCCCGACTAGGCGCGTCAACACCTCCGCCTCCGCCATTCGCCCAATCACGATGTTCGACTAGCCCATACCGTGGGCCCCGAAGGTCAAATATTTAGGCGTCACCCTCGACAGTAGGATGACATTCCGCCCTCACATCAAGAGGGTACGCGACCGTGCCGCCTTCATTCTAGGACGTCTCTACCCGATGATATGTAGGCGAAGTAAAATGTCCCTTAGAAATAAGGTGACACTCTACAAAACTTGCATACGCCCCGTCATGACCTATGCAAGTATAGTGTTCGCGCACGCGACCCGCACTCACTTAAAATCCTTCCAAATCATTCAATCCCGTTTTTGCAGGATAGCCGTCGGAGCCCCGTGGTTCGTCAGGAAAGTCGACCTCCACGACGACCTGGACTTAGAGTCCACCAGTAAGTATATGCAGTCGGCGTCGATGCGCCACTTCGATAAAGCGGCACGACACGAGAACCCTCTCATCGTGGCCGCCGGTAACTACATTCCCGATCCTGCGGACAGAATGGAAAGCAGTCGACGTCGCCCAAAACACGTCATCTCAGATCCTCCCGATCCACTAACGGTGCTTCTAGGTACTTCAAGCACCGGTCACCGTCCTCGTCGAACCCGTCGCTTGCGACGAAGGGCTCGACGAGTAAATTAACTCTCAGACACAGCCCACTGAGTTTCTCGCCGGATCTTCTCAGTGGGTCACATTTCCGATCCGGTGCTAGATTCTGCGAAGCACGGCTCTCGCTAGGGTTCGTGTTAGCAACGTCATCAGGTTTGAGCCCCGTGAGCTCACCTACAAACGTTAGGGTTACGCTGAAATAGTCTCTCAAGGTTCTCAGCTTAGGTAGGGGAAAAAAAAAAAACTTAGACTTGCATCAAATATGTCAACATAGTCGGCTTTTGAGACCGTGGAAGGCGAATTTCTCAATACATAGAGATTTTAAGAAATAAAACTTATCACGCGCACATCCCTATTGGTTGCGGGTTGTGGGTATTTCAGGGGCATGCATGTATGCAAAGCGGGTATAAATAAACTATACCTTAAACGGTGATAGTTTCCATTCGTTATAAACTTTGATTCCACAAAGCTTCAAGTTTGAATAAAACTGGCTTAATGACTGGTCGTCGCTACTAGCCAGGGGGCATCTATTCGAAATGAACGCGTGACTTAATTTCGCCTACTAGACAAAAAGAGTGCAGAATTATGTTAACAGTGCCAACGCAATCTCACGAGTAAAATGACTCCAACCATGACACATGGACATGAGGATTTTTTTGTCTACCTTACATTTTTACCTGCCCTGCCTAATCGCTGAGCTGGAAGGGCCATTCCAGCTTCTCCGAACGGGTGGGTGAACTTACGGGGCTCAGCCTGAGAGACTAATAACATCTGCCCTAGCAAGAGCAGTGGTTCGCTGAATCTACCACCGTATCGGAATCGCGACCCACTGAGAAGATCCGGCAAGAAACTTATTGGGTTGACATGAGAAAACCATTAAGGTTCTGTTATTTTGATACGGAGCTCTAAAAACATTCTCATTTAGTATAAAAATACAAATTAAAGGAAGTCGAAAAACATTTTCCACCAACAAGCAATAATTCTGACTGATTAAACAAAAAAGAAATACGTTCACATGATATTTTATTTTATTTCGGAAAACGTTAAGGAAATTTAGAAACGTAAAATATTGATTTATTCGTATTCAAATAAATAGATAGATAACTCTACACAATACTGATAGCTAATACCATTTTTTGATATGCTAGATAACAAAAAAGGATTAGACAGAGCTATTAAACTATTAGAAGCTAAGGTATGTAAATCTCACAAATTAAATACACAGTACCGATGCATTATCTGATAATAGGACAATTTACGAATTATACTTACTTATCAGTCTAAATACTTATAAACTTGACACACTTGCCGAGAGCATTATTAATAATAATTACATACAAACTTCGTATTCGAGAATCAATATTATTAGGTAATCTTTACCACTAGGTATCCAATAAATTCGATTGTTCGATCTAAAAACTTCATGGAAAACACACAATGTTATAAAAAAAGTTTCAATTTTAAATACTGATAGCATTAAAACGTATCCAAAAAAATTGATGTCATTAAATTTATTGCATTTCACTTTCACTGCCACATTTATTCATGCTGTAATCTTGTTCTTTACCGTAGTCAAGGGGCTCGTCCATTTTGTAGCTCGCCGTCTGCGATCCGGAATCGGTAATGCTTGACGTCCCGATATAAGGATGGCTAGTTGGCGGCATAGAAGTCATCAAATCGTCAGACTTAGATAACTTCAGGGGTTGGTTATAATCTGACATATAATCCGGCATCGTGGTTTTCTTCGTCAGTTCTAACATCTGATTCAAATAAGAGTCACCTCCCACGCGCGACGGCATACTGAAGTCAGTGGCTTGCATGTCAGCGCTTTCTTTATGCAAGTCAAGTTTAGAGGAGAGTCCGCTTTCTGAATGTTTGGATACGTCCATCGGCAGAGCTTCCGTTTTACTTTTCCCTATACTGCCGAAATCCGGTGGTAAGTAATCTTTATTACTTTTCAATAAATCATGGGGGGATTTCAATAAATCGTGGGGAGATTTGAGCAAATCGTGGGGAGATTTCAATAAATCGTGTGGAGATTTCAACAAGTCGTGAGGAGATTTCATTAGATCATGGGGAGACTTCAACAAATCGTGCGGTGATTTCAACATCATATTCTGGTCTAACCCTATTTTCGAAGATATGGGACTGCTACTTGACAACGGCTTCATGAGTGATTCTTGCATTTTCATTAAAGATGGCGACAAGAACATGTTGTTCGCAGCTAATGTTGATTTAGACATTGGGTCAGGTATTCCTAATATACCTGCATTTGAGTATTTGCTGGCCGAGAATAAAGCGTTGGCTATATCTGCAGAACTCATCATTAAATTTGAGGCAATGTTGGCAGGAATAGGAGTAGACGCAGTACTTGTGGCGGTGCTGCTCGGAGTTTTATCGTAGCTTCCGATGCTGCTAGTTAGGTTTTGAAGTGACGACGCATATGATGGTGGATCCGGAAGCTTACTGCCTGACAAGCTTGCGGCCAAGCTCGATGGGATTCCCGGAGTTAGGCCGGCCAGCATACTATTAGCAGCTGCTAAGCTTTCTAGGCCGGTAGGTCCTAGCGGCATAGGCATTTGGCTGGTTCCTAATCCGAGCGCCATGCTTGTCAGCATGTCTAAGCCAGTAGGATAGGCAGAAGAGAGTGACGATGTCGAAGATTTAGATGCCGATTTAGATGGAGTAGATAGTACCGGTATATTTAGCGAAGGTGTTTCAAATTTGTGCGGCGATCCTGAACCAATACCTGAAGATACATTTATCGGAGGAACACCGGCAGGTCTACTAACCATCTGCTGTAGAGTACTAACTGAGGGGAAGTTGGGTACGGTCGTGGTAGATTTAGAGACTGGTATTGGCTGAGGGACCGCTAACAAAGCATCCAAATCCATTTTGTCGTCATTCTCTGAAGAACATCCTAATTCATCTCTAATGAAGTGCCACAGTAAGCCGTCACTTTGTTCTCGAGGAAACTTTGCGGTCAAAGTGCATTTAAGTTTGTCCAAATATGTAATATCGGGCTTAAAATTTTCTTTGAAATCTACAGATGTTTCGTCTGAAAACGTTGAATAATACTTTATGCTTTTTCGTATTTGTTCCATAGCGTGTGGAGATAGATGACTATCGTGTGCTACATTATATTGTAGCAATAGGGGCCGCGGGTACTCAGTGGGTCTTTGTTCTGGCGGGGGCATTACCCAAAAAAACGTTAAAGACGACTCCAAAACAGGACTTTCTGGATTATATGGCGCTGTAAAAAAAAAGACCTACAATTAGAATATTTGTTTTTTTATTTTTTATTTATTTTTATTTTTTTATTTATGTACACACAAAAAAGAAGACATAGTACAGAGTAATAGGAAAATTATGTACAAAGGCACTGCTTATTTCTTAAAGAAATCTCTTACAGCAGACCTGCGAGAGGATAATGAGAATAATAATGAAGTGATAAGTGTGTGTAGAACAGCTAAAATAACAAATACAACATAAGAATTATAGTAAAGCACATACACATATTTTATTAGAATTGAATATAGAATTATAAAAATAGAAAAATACTAGAATTGTTTATTAGAATATTTATTGAATATTTGAACAGTTTGTCAATCTGAGATATATTGAAAATAGAATAGTAATTAAGAGTTTGGGGCACAAACAAAATTATGTACTTACAACAAATCACGCCAATGCAAGGAATATAAGATATTTCTGTTGGGCCCCTTAGTTTGATTTGGTACTCCAATTGATTATCGCAATCTCTGAGACTTGGCATTGCAGGGTTGGTCGGATGAGAATGATACCATCCAAGAAGGGACAGACCGAGTTTTTCGATTTCCATTTGAATTTCGAGCTCCACCAATACACGTGGTTTTGTGTCTTTCTTGCTAATAAGACAAGGGAATGTATGTGTTATGGACAAGGCTGAAAAAATATACATTGTTTTACACTTAAGCCAGAATCGAATGGCTTTAATAAGTTAGATGAAATGTTTTTTGGTAACCATAAAATATAATTTTGTTGTTACGTTACTATTATTATTATTATAGAAATCGGGGGTAGGGAGACTATTAACCCACGAACTAGTTACTGCGACCCACAAAAACATGTTATGATTACTCCAAAGTATTAATTTCTTTATCAAAGCCGAAATCCAGCTTTTAATGCACTAACATTGTTGGATTGATGCTTAACCAACTCAGGGCAAAGAATGTGCTCTCCAAGAAATGAGTATTTTTTACGGCCTAAGGCATAATAGTCACACAGCATGTGTAAAGGGGTTTTCCTCTTCTTCAGTGCCTCCAAACTAGTTGCTGACTCTAGCTTGGACACGTGCCTTTACAACTTAGTATGACGTTATAATCCTTTTTAGGAGTTATTCATTTATACAACTATAAGAAAATTTAACCTTACGTTCCATTAATCATACATCTATGTACTTACTGTGACTATTCAAATCCCATGTTCCCGCAAGATATCCATAAACTTCTTCTTTTTTCAAATGACAGTGGATGTCGAGTATCAAACTGGCATTACTACTAACAGATATCAGGAACGGCTGAACTTTTCCAGCTGATGAAAATGATATTCCTTCTATTAACATATTAGCATCACTGTAATACACAAAAATAGAACTGGTTAGTAGCCAAAACAAAAATTAAACAATTTTTGATATTGTGATCAATGAATACGTGCAGAAACAAATTAGGAAATAAGTAAATGTACATATACATTCCTTATTAATATATATTGGTTGCAATCTGGAGGGCAGTGTGGGAATTAGTACCCCCTACAATAGCTCTAACATTCAGATTCAGCTCTGACATCCTGATTTTATTAGAGATGGGGGACTGTATAGGGCTCACATTTTTTTGCAATCCTCCAAAATAACTCTCAGTAATACATTCAGTCTGTGTAAAGGGTCTATGACACCAGTGATGGAGTTTCCATCATAGGCACAATAAGAATTTACTATATCAACAGTAACTTACTGCTGCATCATTCTGTTGGGTACAGTATTATGCTTCATGACGATTCGTTGTGGTGGCGGTTCTGGCGGACTTTCCACTTCCATTTCAGTCTCTTCTGTGAATAATTTAATGAAATTATTATACAATGAAGGTATGCGAGTAGACAATCGGAATGACATTCAAAAACGTTTGCCGAGATATTTTGATATTGATCAAACAAACAGAATTGACACAGGGATCATGATGTTGTCATGAAAGAAAACAATGTTTTATATATAAATACTAGCTGACCCGGCAGACTTCGTAGTGCCTCAATCGATAAATAAAAGACCTAAACTATTGTATAAAATAAACTTAAAACAAACAAAAGAAATCCGTCCGACGGGGGACACATCAAAGGAAAAACAAAATTGTTATTATTTAATTCCGAGCATTTTCATATTTATCTACCTTTTAAACCTTTTCTGGACTTCCACAAATAATTCAAGACCAAAATTAGCCAAATCGGTCCAGCCGTTTTCGAGTATTAGCGAGACTAACGAACAGCAATTCATTTATATATATATAGATATTTACTTCCAGAAATTATTGTTCCCACAAAACATCAATTAAAGGTTTTAAAACTATGCTGTTGGTTTAAATGATGATAGTTAAATACAAATATATTTTTAAATGTTTTAAAAGGTCACAATGTTCTCAGTGTTAAAGTATGTCTTCAAATTTTAAATTTTCAACATGTAGACATACAAAGGTAGCAATTTGAAATAAGATATTTATGTTTTTTTGCCCTTGTAGGCAGACGAGCATACGACCCACCTGATGGTGAGAGGTTATCGTCGCCCATGGACTTCAGCAATGCCAGGGGCAGAGTTACCATTAAAATAAGTTCACCATCAGGACAACCATTCACTGGTCTCTTGTTATCCTACTTTTCATTTAAGTTATGTCTTGCAAATAAATAAATAATAAAATAAATAAATAATAAAATGCATTTACACTTCACATTTTGAATTTTTTACATAACCTATGTGAGTTGTATAAACGTTATTAATTTGAAAATAATTGGGCCATTAAGTTATTACTAACTTATGCATAATTTAGTAAATAAAAACTGTTTCCAGATTATAATAATTATAGTTCAACTATTAGCAGCACTATTTCAGCTTCAGGAAAGCTGCTTTTTCCTTTGTGTCACTCACTACTTTATGCATTTCATTACAAGTGATGTTTAGGTGACACATTTGGCTTTTCTACTACCTATTCGCTGGTAGTCTAAGGAGCTATTCCAGCTATGCCCAGACCGTTAGGTGAGCTCACGAACTCAACATGAGAAACTTTGTTATCACTAGCCCTAACAAGAGCAGTGCTTCACAGAATCTACGACGGGATCGGAATCGTAACCCATTGAAAAGATTCAACGAGAAACTCAGTGGGGTGTCAATGGGGCACAAATAGTTATTTTACAAATAGTAATAAATAATCATTAAATTATCAGTGCTTAGTGTGAGTTTTTTAACGTTCTCGATAGCATAAAAGTTAATTCAAATTTGTATGCAGTTGGAACAGCGCCCCCTCATGCTCGAGGCGTGATCTCGCCGCCTGGCGGACCCCGCCTATAGGCGACGGACCGTCTCGAACTGGGTTAATCGCGACCGAAGACGTCTCACCTTCCGGGGGACGCAGGCGCTCACGGGACACGGCTGTTTCGGCCGCTACCTGCACCTCGATCGCTCGGAGGGAGCCGACGCCGAAGTGCCACCACTGCAGTGGCTGCAACGAGGACACGGCGGAACACACGCTCGCGTACTGCCTCGCTTTCTCGGAGCAGCGCCGCGTCCTCGTTGCAAAAATAGGACCGGACTTGTCACTTCCGACTGCCGTGGCTACGATGCTCGGCAGCGACGAGTCCACCATCTGGCAAAAAAGGCGGCGGAACGGGAGAGGGAGCGCTCTTCTTCCCTCTCAGCGCCGTGCCGCCGCCGCCGAGCCGAAGGGCCGGAACACCATGGGCATCGCCCGGGCGGCCTGGTAGGACCGCCGTACCACGGAGACCGGCGTCGCTGGTCGTCGATTATCACCTCGACGACCCGTCGGTCGGGCGTCCTCAGGGTGGCGCCGCGTGTCTGGTTGTAGTATTGACCGCGGGAACCCCTCTACTCTGACCGGGTTCTGACCCCAGACGGAGATCGGACGTCGGGTGTAAGAGTGCAGGGGAGTCGTTTAGTGTATTAGGGCCCTAAAATTTTCCTTAGGCCCAGTCTGCTCCCAACCAACACCTTGCAGATCGTCAAGTCCCACATACAGCGCGCGCCCCTTAGGCGCGGGGACCTCGTAGGAGGTTCGGCCCCGACCAGAAAATAAAAAGCGCCCCTAGCGACAAACGCTGTTCAGAATGTTAAAAAACTCACACTAAGCATACTGATGGCTTATGTATCCCTCAAGAGTGTGATTCAAGAATTGATACCAGTTCATAGATTCAAATTCAGAGTGATTAATAAATCTCAAATATAGAGTAAATAAACTGCTTACGATCACTATGCATATTTTCTCTTTGTAGCTGCTTTTTTCTTAAATATGTGGCTTTAATGGTGTCCAACTTCTTCCCTCTATACTTAACAGATGCCCAGCCACATCCTGATCTCTTATCAGGGTTTATGATGCGTTTGCAATGTATTGCCCAAGCTGATGGTGAACAGAATATCGTTTCAGTTTCATGTGATTTAATTTTTCCATCTGGTTGTAAATCGCCAACAAACTTTTGGCCCTATAAAGACATGACTATTAGTAAGATTTCATTATAGATTGAAGGAAATAATTTAGAGTTGTAGTATAGATGAGAGATACAAAACACAACAGACCTCATTATGCTAATGTATAGATTGACATGTTTTGTTTAATTTATATGTAAGTTTGTTTTATTTACAAAAATATTACATTTGAGTGTTTAAAAAATTCAGTTTTAATAGGAATATGTATTGACCTTAGCATTTCAACTGAAATTAACATTAAAATGAATGCAGTACACATGGTAACTTAGAGTAAATTTTGGCCCATATCAGAGGCCCAAAATAAAATGGGTAATTTAAAATTAAGGGATGAGTTATTTTCATTTCCGTAGATACAAAATTTAATTAGAACAACTAAATACCCACCAAGTACTCAATGGTCATAGCGGCTATGCCTGGTTCCAACATTTTATCTTCCAAAAGCATTTGAAGGGTGACACCACGTCCCGGCATTGATTTGTTTCCAGTTTGAGCTTCAGATTCCTTCAGAATGAGAATAATGCAGATTATCATCCTTTTAATAAATAAAACATAGCCTTTTTCCAATAAAAATAAATATGTTGCTTCAATCTATCTATAGTCACAGTTTGGGTTGGGTTTCTGGACAGAATCAATAAATTTATTTAAGACTAGCTGACCCGCAGACTTCGTAGTGCCTCAATCGATAAATAAAAAAGAATCTGTTCGAGAGGGACACATCAAAGGGGAAACAAAATTGTAATTTTCTATTTAATTCTGAATTTTCATATTTATCTACCCGGGCGCCATTAAGCAGGCCCAATGTAGGCAACATTGGAGGAAGCTGGTGCAAAAACTGGACCAAGGTGGTCACGACCCTCAGTAATGAGGAAACGACAAAGAAGAAAAAGAAGAAGATAAAAGAAGAAGATAGAAGAATAAGATAGAAGATAGATGATAGATGATTACCTACTGTTTAATAGTTGGGTTTTGTTGTATTCATTCTTGTACATTATAAATATTTGTGGGACTTATGACAATTCTGACTTGGAGCTGTTTATTGTTTATTTCTTCTGCTAACACAATGGTTATGCAGATTTATTTTCGAAAAACCGATAATTCGAATTATGTATGTTTAAAATAGATTTAATGTTGACGATGAAGAATTATTTAATTGTTTACCTCATCCGAGAATTCTTCTCCACTTGCGACTTCATCTTTTTCTTCCTCCGCTGTTTCCTTTTTACTTCCACAAGTTTTTTCATTTTTTACTTCCTCTTTAGGATTACAAACCAAAGGTTCCGATTCAATAGACGGATTACCGCTATAATTTGTACCAGACATCAAAGCTGCAGCCAAGTGAGATGTTTGAAAATCCATTTTTTTTTGTTTACGCGAACATGTAGTCAATATCTAATAAAAATTAATTAAAACAGTGTACATACTACTTAATACTATTTTACTTATTACTTATTATTTTGAATTTATGTCGGTCAGATGTTATGTTTTCAAATATGAAAGGCTCTCTTGAATCCTAAACTCCAAAGTAATACATCGTAAGACATGAATTATTAATTAAAATACAGAATTTAATGAATTAATACATTTCAGTTAAACTTTATTACCTTTAAATCATCTTAGCTTGCATGTTTAAAAAATTGTGATTATTTATGCCCAGTTTAATCTATGTTTATGCCTATTGCCCACTGAGCAAGTAATCCACTGAAGAAACATAATAAAGTAATCCCTGGCTTTGTAAATTTGGCCCTTCTTTTTTTGGGTTTTCGGATTTTTTTTATTTTTAATTATTTGTTCGTCGTTTGTTTATTAATGTTCGAATATAAAAATTGTTTGTTCGTCTTTTATTTATTTATAATTAATTAAACAACTAATCACCGTTAAGTGGGCCCCCCTTACTAGATATCTTTATTTTTATCGCTCAGATTAATTCACTTTGATCAATTATCGTTTGTTCGACGATGTGATTGTTCGATCATAAAAACAATTAAATTCCCAATTACTAATATTTTATATCTAATGCCGGCCACTGACATGCGCGCAAATATTCGTACATTGTACGAATGTTTGCGCACATGTGAAGGGCCGTCAAACATTCATTCGCAAACCTAGCGCCTATGCAAATGGGTTCGCATAATCAATTTGCGAACCCGTTTGCGCTTCCTCCTACACTTGTTTACGAATGTCTCACGAATTTCTCCTCCTTTTTAATTCGTCAATAGAACGTTGAAAAGAAAAAGAGTTTTGAATTCTTTCCCAGACATCATTAACAGCCATGCTGTTTTTATGGGATTTCTTTTGATGAAGATACGCTACACAGTAGACGTCACGAACTATGAAAATGGCGATACGTCCGTTACCTTCGCAATCGTCGGCGCAACTGGGCAAGCGAATGTGTGGGAGACTACGCGAAGGTTCGAGGTTCGCGCGCTTTNCTACACAGTAGACGTCACGAACTATGAAAATGGCGATACGTCCGTTACCTTCGCAATCGTCGGCGCAACTGGGCAAGCGAATGTGTGGGAGACTACGCGAAGGTTCGAGGTTCGCGCGCTTTGATGTCTGTTAAAAAACCGACACAGCTTGGAAAACCACGAATGCAGCGAAAACTTTGCATAATCATTCGCAAATGTCATCCTACACTTGCGGGTTGCGTATTCGTGCGCATGTGAGTGACCGGTGTAATTAGAAAACCATCACCTCACGCCACCTTTTTTTTAATTTCAGATTTTTTTATTTTTAATTATTTGTTCGTCATTTGTTCGTTAATGTTCGGATGTAAAAATTGTTTGTTGGTCTTTTATTTATTTATAATTAATTAAACAAATGATCACCCGTAGGTTGCCCCTCATTACTAGATATCTTTATTTTTATCGCTGAGATTAATTCATTGTGATCAATTATCGTTTGTTCGACGACTATTGGTGATTGTTCGATCATAAAAACAATTAAATTCCCAATTATTAATTATTTTATATCTAGCAAACCAACACCTCACGCCTACATTGCGCATGCGCCGGTTTTGTCAGTCAGCTGGCAATGGCCATATCATAGAGTTACTATTCTATTATGTAGGTACTTATTAACTCCATGGGCCATATTTACTAGCGTTTTGTTTACAAGTGCGTTTATACTGTCTAATTATTTCATATGTAGATCAAAAAAATATTGAAAACTTCAACAATACTTCATGAAAAAAATGTCAGTAAATTGAATGTAACGGCCAATTAATCGTTAAGGTACGATTAGCGCGGTTTTAATAAATTCAGTTATTTTTAATGATATTGAATATTAACAAGCACATTGAAATTTCAGTGATTTCTAATTATTTTTAAGAATATTTTAGGAGTACAATTTTTTCGTGTTAAAATGATACTATTCATTACCATGCAATAGGAGATAGTTATGATACTTGTATCTTTATATATAAAATGAGTTGCTGTTCGTTAGTCTCGCTAAAAATCGAGAACGGCTGGACCGATTTGGCTAATTTTGGTCTTGAATTATTTGTGGAAGTCCAGAGAAGGTTTAAAAGGTAGATAAATATGAAAATGCTTGGAATTAAATAAAAATATGATGTTTTTCCTTTGATGTGTCCCCCGTCGGATGGATTCCTTTTGTTTGTTTTAAGTTTATTTTATACAAAAGTTTAGGTCTTTTATTTATCGATTGAGGCACTACGAAGTCTGCCGGGTCAGCTAGTTTTATAATAAAATTAGTAATTCCTAAATTAATTACGTAGTTCAAAAAATGTAAATGTAATGCACACAAAATCTGTTTTTGTTGAAATGATAATTATTTATAAGTTCAAGAAATATATTGCGGGGGGACATTTAGTAGAAATTCATTTAATATGGAAGAATAAACTTAGTATTTAATAACTAGTCAGGTCATAAGTATTGTCACACAGTAAAAACTTTTCTTTTAGAATGCTGGCCACAAAAAAGTTTATTGAATTCGAATTTCGAATTGTTCATGAAAATAAAAATGTATACTTTTAGAATTTTACTCATTTTTTAATATGGAGTGGACGCTTAAAGAAGACCGAGTTGCAGTTATTGCGTTGCATCGTTGCGGTTACGCGCCAATTCAAATTTTTAACATACTGAAAATTTTGAATATAACCAAAAGATTCGTTTATCGTACCATCAAACGATACAATGAAGACTCTAGTGTAGATGACAGGTCAAGAAGTGGTCGCCCTCGGTCTGTTAGGACTCCAGCAGTGATAAAAGCTATGAAGGCGCGAATTCAAAGAAATCCCAAACGTAAGCAGAAACTGTTGGCCCTTCAGATGGGGTTAAGCAGAACCACGGTGAAAAGGGTGTTAAATGAAGACTTAGGGCTTCGGGCATATCGAAGAAAAACAGGACATCGTTTGAATGCTCGTCTAATGGACCTGAGACTGAAGAGATGCCGCGCTTTGTTGAAGCGGTACGCGGGAAAAAAATATCGGGAAATTCTTTTTTCGGATGAAAAAATTTTTACCGTAGAAGAGAGCTACAACAAACAAAATGATAAGGTGTACGCACACAGTAGTGAAGAAGCGAGCAACCGTATTCCGCGTGTCCAACGAGGTCATTTTCCATCCTCGCTCATGGTATGGTTGGGAGTTTCTTATTGGGGCTTAACAGAGGTACATTTTTGTGAGAAAGGTGTAAAAACGAATGCAGTTGTGTATCAAAATACAGTCCTGACGAACCTTGTGGAACCTGTTTCTCATACCATGTTCAATAACAGGCACTGGGTATTCCAACAAGATTCGGCGCCAGCTCATAGAGCGAAGAGCACACAAGACTGGCTGGCGGCGCGTGAAATCGACTTCATCCGGCACGAAGACTGGCCCTCCTCCAGTCCAGATTTGAATCCGTTAGATTACAAGATATGGCAACACTTGGAGGAAAAGGCGTGCTCAAAGCCTCATCCCAATTTGGAGTCACTCAAGACATCCTTGATTAAGGCAGCCGCCGATATTGACATGGACCTCGTTCGTGCTGCGATAGACGACTGGCCGCGCAGATTGAAGGCCTGTATTCAGAATCACGGAGGTCATTTTGAATAAACTTTAGTGTCATAAGAATCTATGTTTTGTTAAGTTCATTTTGGTATATGAATGGTTACATAATGAATAAACTTGTTTCAATTATTTTACATTAAACATGTGACAGAATTTATGACCTGACTAGGTATATATACGCTATAAACAGGATTTTATTTAAAAAAACAAATTGTTTACGTCTATATTAGCTTAATTATTATTATCGAGAAGTATCTTGATTGATATATATTACAAGGCTTCGTTTTTTATTTTATTTATTTGTTTTTTATGATCAATCAATAACCAATAGTCGTCGAACAAACGATAATTGATCAAAATGAATTAATCTGAGCGATAAAAATAAAGATAAGTAAGTAAGTAAGAAGGGGCAACATAAGGGTGATCATTTGTTTAATTAATTATAAATAAATAAAAGACGAACAAACAATTTTTACATTCGAATATTAACGAACAAATGACGAACATAAAAATAAAAAAATCTAAAAATAAAAAAAAGGTGGCGTGAGGTGATGGTTTGCTTTGCTCGACTTCTACGAGTCCACCATCTCGCAGAAGGAGGCGGCGGAACGAGAGAGGAAGAGCTCTTCCCTTTCCGCACCCATCCGTCGCCGTTGAGCCGGGGGCCGGAGGCGGGAATACGCCCGTACGTCCCGGCCCCTGTAGGTAGCGGCCTCCCCCCGGTGAACGTCAAGGGGCGACCTGAAGGGGTAGAGGCCGCGCGGCACGCTACTAGCACTCTAGCGCGCCGCCGAGGAGTAATAGAGTGACCGGTTGGCGGTGTATCGCGTCCCGACCTGGCAGGCTGGTTCTGGTCCAGCATGGTATTCTGGGACACCAGCGGCACCGTCTGGGCAGCCTGACGGGCTGCCGTACCGAGACGGCCGACGTTTCAGAGCCTTCGATTCGCCTCGAAGGCTCCGTCGGCTGGGTGTCCTTGGGGTGAGCCGCGCCGTTTTGTTGTAGTGTTGACCGCAGTAACCCCCCTACCTCATCCGGGTTCTGGCCTCGGAGGGGATCGGACGTCGGGTGTAAGAGTGCAGGGGAGTCGTTTAGTGGGTGGGCCCTAAAATCCTTGGGCCCGCAGTCTGCTCACAACACCATGCAGATCGTTGAGTCTCACATACATACGCGCGCCCCTTATGCGCGGGGACTTCGTAGGAGGTTCGGCCCCCGGCCCGAAAAAAAAACGGTGATGGTTTGCTTAATAGGTATAAAATGATTAATAATTGGGAATTTAATTGTTTTTATGATCGAACAATCACCAATAGTCGTCGAACAAACGATAATTGATCAAAATGAATTAATCTGAGCGATAAAGATAAAGATGTCTAGTAAAGGGGGCCCACTTAACGGTGATCATTTGTTTAATTAATTATAAATAAATAAAAGACGAACAAACAATTTTTACATTCGAACATTAACGAACAAACGACGAAAATTAAAAAATCCGAAAATCCAAAAAAGGGGCCAAATTCAGTGAGCCAGAAACTCATTGGGCATTTTGCATCAAACACTGTTTTGTGAAACATTATTAATCTGATCTTTTATTAATTTGATGGCCTGGGGACCAGACTTTTTATCTTTCATAATCCCTGAATTTGACGTGCCTAGGGTAGGAAGTGCGAAATTGAGTTGTAGGATTACTGCACCAAGTGTTTACACCTGGTATTCATTTGCAAGACTTCGGCTTGTGTTATCGGCAATAATTGTAACACTAAAGTTTACTTACTACTGTGAAACTATCACTTTTATCTTATGACTTCCAATACAATGAGTATATAAGAGTCCTTATTTGCAAATATTGGAAATGCACTGTAATATTATGTATTTTAATACATTATATTATATTTTATATATTTTTGAAAGCCTTGGCTTGCAAGCATTTCAAAGGGGGCTACACCTTCTTATTAAATTTAAGTAAGACAAAAAAATCCCAAGCATTGTAACTATCGAGCATCTTTAATTTCATATAGCGGTTTAGGACAAGACAACATTCGAATCGCGCGATGTGATTGTGCCGGTGTTCAAATCCGCATAAAAGTAGGTACCATTTTTTATTGAAATACGCACTTCACATATTTTCACGAATTACTCCCACGATGAAATAATAACATCGTCCAACAAAAATGAAACCCGCAAAAACTATAATTTGCGTAATTAATGGTCTTGTGAGCTCACACATAGGTACCACCACCATGCCTATGAGATAAAATAATGAAGTATCACGATTAGATATCGAGTACAGATTTACATGATACTGGTATTTTTTTGCATTGCATTCCATACAAAATTTTGTCTTGGTTCTGTACAGTGTGGAATAGACTCGATAAAAAATCGATTCTTCGATTCATTGGTCTCAGATCGCACCCTGACACAGCGTGACCAGATTTAGTAGATTTCTACTTTTTTAGTAGATTTTGAGGTACTGGCAACACAATTTAGTATGTAAAAATTATTTTGTATATTTTAGTAGAATTCACGCTTTTCATTTAATCTAGTACTTTTTGGCATAACGGATAAATTCCCCCTTTCATCGAATGGATTGTAACTATTTAATTTTCATTCTTTTCGTTACCGTTCGTGCCGTGAGCATAGTGTGATAGACTAGTGGGAATTCCTTCATTGAGAATTTTTATAATCGAGCTTAAAATGAAACATAAATATACATAAGGATATCGCGACGTCCCATTCATCACGATACCTTGTAGTCGCAGCACAAAACCTGCAAATTGTTGACAAAGAAAATAGGGAATTAAAGTTAGATGTTTCCGTGTCTAATTTATTGTCAACTTCTAGTTCGACGTCTGAAACTTTTATGGTGGATAAATTTTGGAGTGAAGTCAGCCAAATCTGTCAGCCAAAGTAGAAAGAATAATTTCTGATTAATATCCTATTAATATAGGATTAAAAATCAAGATCGAAATCGATTTAATAATAAGAATGTTGCTGCAATACCTAATGCATGAAAAAGAGGGGCTATGACAGTTGATGTCACACATTTGATCCTGACAGAAGTACAAGATATCAATGGACTCAAAACAACTTTTTTTGGAGTTTACTCCTTTAGAATCGATTTACATATATAGGCCCGGGGTATGAAAATTATGGGGACCAAAATCGTACTAGCATGTCACACGAAATGCGTTATGCGCCTGATTGGCTCCTGATTGCGTGATGCGTGCGCGCGCCAATCAAAATCGTACTAGCATGTCACACGAAATGCGTTATGCGCCTGATTGGCTCCTGATTGCGTGATGCGTGCGCGCGCCAATCAGGAGCCAACGCGCGGCCGCGTTATCGCAGGTGACGCCGGGCTGCTGCGCCGGCAGTCCGCCACAAAGCCTCGTACTGATCACGCGTTTCTCTCATTATTGTATTTTCATATATTTGTTAGTCGTTTGTTTTGTGTCTCGTTAATTTGTTAATAATCTGTAGTGTATCGTGTTGTCGTAATATAGAACTATTTCTCGTATTGTTTCGTTTAATTTTTTATATCCAGTAAACTCCAGTCGTGCGTCGGAGCGGACACACACACTTTTTTTTTAAGGTATTTTATGACCTGGTAACTAAGACCTTTAGGTCAAGTCTTATTTTAATTTTAATGATACGTAACTTTTATAAATGAAAATGATATTATAAAATGAAATGAAGTTGATTATGATGAAACATGGCATAAAGTGAAATGAAAACGAAATGAAATGACATGAGATGAGATGATATGGGATGAAGTATAATCTCAGTAAAATGGTGGTCATTTACTGAGACTTTTTCAGTGGACTTTTTGGAAGATCCCGAGAAGTTACGTTCAGTGGCTTTGTTTTATTTTCCCAAATTTGTGCACTTTCACAGATACTAAACAGTTAATAAACCACCGCTATTACACGTTTAAATCTGAAGAAACACTAACTAGACAAAATAAAACAAATCACACAACTTCACTCCTCACGTTCCCGCCAAAAGTCCACTCAAAACAACTTTATGCAAATGTTACCCAACCTAAAGACGAAAATTATATTTTTAATTAGAATTTAATTTAAACAAGAACATTGTCTCTTTAATTAATTGTGGTTTCTTTTTATTATTTTATTGTTTATTGTTAAATTATATTTTATTGTTAAATTAAAATAATTAATTGTTATATACACATAACAATATTTCACAATTTACATTGTAACACGACAGCAAAAAAAGTATAATAGATTTTTAGTATTTCTCTTTCTCTTTTGGTAGAATTCAGTAGATTTTAACCTCCACAAGCAGTAGATTCATCAAATGAAATCTGGTCACACTGCCCTGACAACAAGTGTCAATAGTCTATAAGGTCTTGTAACCGTTGGCCGTAAATAAATTAAAAAAAAAACAAATGTCAATCACACGATTGAATCATATGAATGAATGATATGAATTCGAAATTATTTTAGTCAAGACTCTGGTTAAGAATTGCTTGTTTTTAAACTTGCAAAATTGTTTAATTTGTTTCATTCAAAATGTTCCGTTTGACAAAAAACGTGATTTCGGTGGTTTGTAAATCCGCAATAAAACAGAAAACCCAATTAAATGGAAACGGCGTTGTTATATTTGAGCAAAGCAATTTTTTTTCCGATTCTGGTAAACTACCATGATTTAATTAGTATTATACCTACTTATTTTTGTATCTAATTTCTATGTTCTAAGGTTTAAGTTAATAGTGTATATTCAATGTCATAATATTATACAAAGTTACGCTATATTATTGATTTTTACCCTATCAACAAAATGTGCTAATCATTTACATCACAATTGCCACAATTTTTTGAGTAAACATGGAATATTATACATTACGTGTCAACTTCCCACATCAAATACATTTGTTATTCAATAAACATTTACTGCAAAATTTAATTTTGTTGCAAATTTATTACAAAATGTTAAAATCAGTACATGTTTCAGCAAATGACAAATTTTCATTAAAACATGAGGAAGTTGGCCGGCCGTTGTATTTCGATGCTCAAGCCACTACACCAATGGTAAGTAGAACATGATACGAAAATTTTACATTTATTCATATCACTTATGAATGGAGATTTAAGTGCAATTAACTTCAGGATCCTAGAGTTCTTGATGTAATGCTACCATACTTAGTAAGTTATCATGGCAATCCACATTCAAGAACTCATGCGTATGGATGGGAAAGTGAAGCTGCTGTTGAGAAAGCCAGAGAACAAGTGGCAAATTTAATAAATGCTGAACCAAAAGAAATTATATTTACTTCAGGAGCAACAGAATCAAATAACATATCTGTTAAAGGTGTGGGTCGATTTTATGCACCAAGAAAAAAGCATGTCATTACTACTCAAATTGTAAGTTTTTAATTATTTTTATTCAAAAAAGTCCTTTAGTAGTAGAAATTTCTATAATAAACATTATATTTTTAACTCACTGCATAAATTATAATAGCTAAGTAAAAGATTGATTCATAGCCATTAGAATGAACTTATCGACACTTGAAAGGCAAACGTGACTAAGCGACAATGCGTGAACTTTACAGTAGACAAATTTAAAGTTGAAATACCTGAAAAAAATTATATTTTAACAAATCTAGCTGTAGGATTGAAATGAATTTAATAGACCTAGAAATATATTTTTTTGCGCATTGAATATGGTTATTGCCTATCATTTATATACAAAGCAGTTATCGTCGCTTAGTCACGTTTGCCTTTCAAGCGTCCTTATTTATTATTTATTTCAGTCGTTGTAATTTTCATTTAAAGTCTGTCTATTAACTGGAAAATTCAAATATGTTTACAATTTTATTAATATAGTCACAAGATTACATTCTTGCTATTTTTTTTCAAAAATTATATTTTGGTAATAATGCAGTTTTTATTCTTCAGGAACACAAATGTGTTTTAGACTCATGTCGTGCTTTAGAAGGTGAAGGTTTCAGAATTACATATTTACCAGTCCGACAGAATGGAATTATAAATTTAAAGGATTTGGAAGATGCCATCACACCAGAAACCAGTTTGGTATCTATAATGACTGTCAATAATGAAATAGGTTTGTAAACATGTAAACTTTTTTGATTATGCGCTATTGTGATTTGTAATCTCTGTAATGTTTATATTTTTTTGTTAATTTGTTATATATTAATAACCTTTCAACTTTAAATATATTGTGTGATATGATAGCAAGGAACATTAATAAACTAATTTAACCTCAAGATCCAAAAATTTGTTGACATTGTCTTATCATCATTAACTTGTAATGTTTTATAATTTAACAGTAATGTAAATAAATTATAAACTTTATCTGACCTTGCAATAAAATAAAATTGTTTGACAATTTGCATTATCATAAAAGTTTAATATTTCATTCAAAGTAACATCAATTCTATAAATATTAATTATAATAACTATTAGTTTATTAAGGTTATTTGTGACCTTTTGTCAATCATATCTATTTCTACTCTGAAACAATTCTAAATTCCAGTTTTAAAGGCTGGAAAGTCAAATGCAATGAATTCAACATATTATTCTTTGCTAATTGAGCAGAAAATCTCAGCCCATCTTTGATATTAACTACTGGAGTCCATAAACAACATTATATTATATCTTGCAATTACTCCCCTCGAGACATGATATTGCTGTCAATTGTATGGTGGTCTCAAGCTTCAAACTTAATGCATAACTGCTCTGTACCAGAAATTGGCAGGGTAATATCAACTACTTATGTGGGATTATATTTTTTTAATATTCAGTATTACAGGCCTCCTAGAGGCTCAGTCACAGTTTTACAATCCATACATTTGAGATGAGTCTGAATCCATTGATTTCAGACGACCCCTAGCCCTTGGGTAGGTACTTACACTATCAAATACAAAATTGCAAGACTTGTAATATATGTAATTATTACAATCATTTATTTATAAGTACATACCTAATTACATTACATGTGTTGTGCTGCCAGATAGTTACATGACACTTTATTATTTGGTGTTTTCAGATTTATATTATTAAATTTAATTAAGTATTATATTTGCATTCCGATCTTATAAATTTTTGAGGGAAACAGGAGCATAGCTGTGATTTAAATTTTACTTTACTTACTATGTTAATTAAGTAATTTCTCTAAAATATTGTCTCCAACAAATGAGCGAAAAATTCTGTCTTAAATGGTTTTCTAGTTCATTACATCATTAGATTGGCTGTTTCAATGTTGAAGCTTATTTACATTTTTCGTAACTTCTATTGAAAGATGATATTTGGTAAGGTAACACAAAATTATAGAAATAAACTTAGCTCCTTACTATACTTGAGACCTGAGAACATATCTCAAGGTGGGTGGCGCATTTACGTTGTAGATGTCTATGGGCTCCAGTAACCACTTCACATCGGGTGGGCTGTGAGCTCGTCCACCCATCTAAGCAATAAAAAAATAACGTGTCGCCACGGAGAAATCTATGTAATCGCAAGCATGATTCTTGTTTTATTTTGCTGTAGATGCACATTTGTTGGCACAGAACAAGTGTTCACCATTTTAATGAAAGTAATAAAAAACGATTCTCGCGATGCATGCGGTCCGATCTGCTCTCAGAGTTTGAGTGCGCAAAGTAAAGTAACCGGCAAACATCGTGAGCAAATGACCTTGACTGCGCAGAACCGAATTTTAGATCACTTTGGTGGTGAGGGTGAGGCGCGACGGCAGGGGAAATCGTATCGAGCGCGTTATTGGTAGATCAGTCGAACCTTGCGTCCCGCACCACGCCTTCGTTCCGCTTGCTCCCAAAAGTACGCTTGCGTACAGTGAAAAGTCTATCGTTACTAATCGTTAAGTAATATTTTGTTATAATTGCTTGTTGACTTTGTTGCCATTGCTATTTGTTGAGTGTTTGTTGATTTTTTATAAAAAATACACTATGCCGCGACAAACTGGTGTAGTATTCAAAAGAAAGGGTAGAAAAATTGTGTGCGACGTATATTGCTTCATTATAAAACAGGGGAAGAATGATATTATGGAAAAAGTAAAACAGACTTCGGAAGCAACAAAAACATCAGTGAGTACTGTTAGGTGCATTATTAACGAAGCTAAAGGCTCTGGCTTGCTCATCGTGCTTGGGACTCCGGGTAAGAAAAGATCAGGGAAGAAGAAAGTTACCGGAATGGATAGTTTCGTTCAATCTGTAATAAAAAGATGTAATCATAATAACTACATAACAAGCAGCGAAACTCCGTACCGTAGAAAGGCTTCGAAAATTTTAAAGAAGATATACATTTTAATGGCTCGGAATGAAGTTTACGACGAATTATGAAAGAGCTAGGCTTCAGATGGAAAAAAAAACAGAAAATAATCGGAAGCTGGTAATTGAAAAAAGTAACATTCGATTACTACGAATCGAATATCTTCAAAAAATAATTAATTATAGACAAAAAAAAAGGTCGAACCGACCGAGTCGTAAACTACACCGATGAGCCCTATGTCGACTTATCACGATGATGGCGACTCGGGTGATGAAAACAGTGATGATGATAATGGTCAAGATTATGATAACGAAAAAAAATTACAAATACCAGCTTCGCTTCAACTGAACGAAGACCTGGCAACAGCTCTAGTTTTGACTTAATAGAAGGAATATCTATTTTACCCCAAGATTAAATTATTATAATTATTAACCTATATTTTTTGTTGATGTTCTAATAAATATATAAATAAATACATATGTTGATTTTAATAATTTAATTGCATTATGACGCAGAGTAAATAATGTTTTTGCACGTGAGTGTACCATGCGCAAACTTACCCCCACTACGTCAACAAATGCTCAAGAAGTTTGCCGGTTATTATAAGCGCAATCGAGGGCCGCGATCCGCGTCGCCCTGCCCGTTCCCCGCCGTTACGCGCAAGTACATTAGTTTCTGAACTTTATGGATTGTAAACCTGTGGCTAAGTACGGTGTACCTGTCTAGATAGCACCACCCAATCTCTTTCCATGAGAGGTAGTTACCACAACCCGGTCTATTTTTGTAACAGAACAGTCATGCATTCCATCCGGTTTGAAGGGTGAGATAACCACACAATAGATGGAAATCCATCCGGAAATTAATGTGAGTAGTGGCACGTTGTGAAGTTTGGACCAAGAGAGCCATGCGCTTCTTTTCCAACCTACGAAATGACTGTCAATTGTGCTGTGAAAACTACAAACAACAATTATTTTTTACAACAACATGCATTTTACGAATCTAATTGAATAAAATAAAAATGTTATTTATTTCCAAATTAATTTTATAGAGATAGTTTGTGTTGAGCCTACCTAATAATTAACCTAATAGATACTTGTGGTGGAAATGGCCCGCTACTTTCCATAACTACACAATTTACAATTTAGACATAAACATAATTAATTATTATATTTACGATTAAAAGTAATACAATCATAAGTCAGTTGTCGGGCAATATAAGTTACAACGATAATCTTTTTTATGAAATTCCGTAAGACAATTGGGTTATTAATACAAATTTATTGAAAAGAGAAAATCTTTAATACAGTTATGTGTACACCATAAATCTATATAACTTATATGTAATAATATGTGTGTGTAATATTTGCAGGTGTTAAACAACCAATTGAAGCTATAGGAGCAATATGCAAAAGCAAGAAAGTATTTTTTCATACTGATGCTGCCCAAGCTGTTGGAAAAGTACCTTTGGATGTTAACACAATGAACATTGATTTGATGTCGATTTCTGGGCACAAAGTTTATGGACCTAAAGGCGTGGGCGCACTATACATTAGGCGGAGGCCTCGAGTGCGCGTAGAGCCAATACAGAGTGGGGGTGGACAGGAGAGAGGCATGAGAAGTGGAACTGTACCCACACCACTTGTTGTGGGATTAGGTTCGTTGACAATGTTTTTATTACCATAGACATGTTCACAGTACATCTATTAAAAAGTTATTAGAGTCTGTAAACGCCATAAATAGATACTGCAGCCCAGCTTTAGACAAGTTGTGAAAATCTATGCGTTTTTTGTTTACCCGTTCTAATAAATGAGTCGACTATTATCAAAGGCGGCAATCTGACTTTTGGACAATGATTGGTAAATCAGAAAAACGAATTATTGACTTTGTATTCCATTGGCAGTCACAAAACTCTTCGGAACGACATCTTAGATAAATAACAGATTAACTATTAACCTTTATTTAATGCAGGTTTTGAACCGTATTCTTTGAAGGAGACGATTATATTCAAATAAATCTGTATTGACATATCAATAAAAAAATTTTGTCCAAATGTACAGATTGCCACCTTTGATAATAGACGACTCAAATAATGTATAGTATTTCATCAAAAAACTGACGCTCATCCTAACACATGCGAGTGAAACTAGGTGTGTTGGAGCTGACATTACATCCTGCAATCAGTACTTGAGATAATAATGAAGGAGAGTTATACAGAAATGCGACGATGTACTGATGGATGTTGACACAAGTCTTAGTAGTAGTTTAATAGGGCTAGATAATAGTCTAAGGATAGATATAATTAAAGGAAGGAAAGATATAATAGATAATATCTAATTAATGGCCTAAGAAAAACCAGTAATGAATTCATGATGAAAATGATAAGACCTGTGTATTTAAACACCAAAATACAGCTTAGTTACTTTATTTTATTGATTTAGGGTAGGTAACTAAGCCTTAATACACCTTAAATTTTTAAATTAAATATCATTTTTTGTGCATTTTAGGAGCTGCATGTGAGTTGGCCGGACGTGAAATGGCATATGATCATTTATGGATGGAAAAATTATCTAAAAGGTTTTTAGAAAAGATTAATTCTAAGCTGACACATGTGATAAGAAATGGAGATGCTGAACAAACATATCCAGGCTGTGTAAACTTATCTTTTGCATTTGTTGAAGGTCTAGTGATTTTTTTTTTGTTTACATTATCAAGTGTTATTCAATTAATAATGGAACAATGGAAATAACTTTGTAATCTTTGCACAATATTTATTTATAATTTTACTTTCTGATCATGCAATTAATGAAAAAAGTGAAACTTTTATTTATTTAATTTTGATTCTCACAGGTGAATCTTTGTTGATGGCTTTAAAGGATGTAGCCTTGTCGAGTGGTTCAGCATGTACTTCTGCATCATTGGAACCTTCGTATGTTTTAAGAGCAATAGGAACTGATGAAGACTTAGCCCATAGTTCAATAAGGTATAACATATTCTGACAAATTAAATAAGTTAGTTAATCATCAGTTAGAAGTTTTCAGTTTTACATTATTTCTAATTTTATATTACATTTATTTTATAGATTTGGTTTAGGTCGCTTCACAACAATCGAAGAAGTAGACTACACAGCTGAAAAGACGATAAGACATGTTGAACGATTAAGAGAAATGAGTCCACTCTGGGAGATGGTACAAGAAGGCATAGATATAAAGACAATTCAATGGTCGCAGCATTAAAACGTAAAAAAGCTAAAAATATTCCAAATGTAGACGTAGGAAATTGTTTTATTTAATAAGATTGCAAAGATCTGGTTCGAAATGTGTATTTATGCAAGAGTGTAATGGAAAAAAGATCATTTAAAATAGGATAGGAGATATGTTTGAAATGTCTATAAAATATGACATTTTAATTAAATTCCTGCATAAAAAAGAATCATGTACCAAAATGTACAGAAGACACAAGTTATGAAATGTGTGATATTATTTTTATTAACAATAAATAGAAGTTGCGTTGAAATTTATTTTATTATTTTAATACATGTATTAGATTTAATAAATTATATGATTTATAAAAAAAATTTCGAAATGTCATATAATAAACATCCAGTAATATTTATAAAAATAATAATTTAAAAAACCGTATCTTATTGTCTATTTGAAATGTTGATATTTTCCCATAAAGAATACTAGCTATTAATTAATAATACTTTTGAAATACACATACAATACAACACTATATATACTGCAGTGCTTAATGGACGGAAACAAAACAAAAATGACACAATATTAAAGCTTCAATAGATATATAGGTGGTTAATTGATCACACTGCAATAAATTATACAAGCATTGATTATATTAATGAATTAGATGTATACAAAATTGCTAATATAACATTTGTGTCATATACAAAATTATTTAATGTTGACTGCAAAGGTACAGTGACTATTCACAACTAAGGCCAGCCAAAACAAGTTTTATTATGCGTAAGCAACTAATAATACACTTCACATTTGCATTAGCTCAAATAATTGATCAAGTTGCTGAATTCTGTGGAATGTTAACAAATTAACCAGAAAATAAGTAATTTTCTTTTTAATAGTTATCATTGTTATCAACTTGTTCCAGTGCCCACAAATAGAGATCTAGCCGTGTTTTCCTCCTGTCTTGGATATTTATAGCACATATGAAGACAAGGAAAAGTTCATTATGTTATACATAATTATGTACATACTATCTTTGAAAACTATACATAACTTTAACTCAAAACTACAAAGCTGGAGGCTGTTGTCTCCCGCTGTTTAGTACAGTAGTCTGGATTAGTAATCATTTGTTTATTGAAGCATTCTAATTGATAATTTATTATTAAAAACAAATGTATTATAAGATAAATTTATTATATAAGATAAATTTTGTGTTAAACAGATACCATAATTATTTTTAAATTGCTGTATTTAATAATAGAAATTAACAGCTACATGATGGCTCTTGTGGTTGATCAGGGTTTGAAATTTTAAAACTATTCTGATCCAAGGCCTGCAGTTCAATCCTAGACCTGTTTGCTTCAACCAGTTGAAGGGCAATATCAGCAAACATTTCTTCAATACCTTTGCCAGTTTTGCATGAAGTTTTGTATGTGCTATTTACTAAATTGTGGCACTGCTCACTGTGAATATATAAAAAAGTTAGCTATGCGGTCAACGACACAATCATATTAAAAAAACATTTTTTTTGCATCTAAACAATAAAACAAAATTTTACCAGAAAGTTTCAATATCAGCATCAGTAACTTGTGGAGATGCTCCTTCCAAATCAGATTTATTTCCACATAAAAATATCTTTGCGTTTTCTGCATAAGATACAATTTCAAGTAAATGTTGACTCAAAATATGAAACGATGAAGCATTGTCCAGTGAAAAGACCAAAATTGCAGCTTCAGCAAATTTGTAATAGCTTGATGTCACCGAAGCTATTCTTTCCATACCTCCAGTATCCCATAACTGCAACTGAACATATATTTTTTTAACTCAAAGTATTATTACACGTTATGCATAATAATATAGCCTTTTTGTTGTTAATGTGGAATATGGTAGGTTCAGCAAAAGAAGTGTCGCAAGTTATAGTTTCATTACCATGTTGTTGCCATGACAAATCTGGGTAGATGCCAGTGGTAGAGTCCAGATAGGCTATTCGTAGATAGGAAAAGGGATACTACTAGTGCTGTGGATGGGTAATGCGACGGATGTTTTGAATAACTGCAAGCGCGTTTTTGAAGAACTAGAAATTATGCCTGTATGTCGCCATGATGAATCTAATAATAATGATGCCTTAAACTTATGTAAATTATATTCACGCAAATCCAGTTTTAATAATAATATTAACCTTGACATCTTTGTCCGCAACTTGGTACAACTTCTCGAAATGATCTAAACCTAAAGTCGCCCTTCGATCGGAGTTTGGAACAAAGGTATTGTTAATGAACCGGCGAAATAATGAACTCTTTCCAACACCGTATTCACCACACAAAATTACTTTCAATACAGGAGTTTTTACAACAGCCATATTTTGTCTGTTTTTTACTATTATTTTACTAAATTATTTCTGTCGCAAGACATTAACTGCGGAATACGTTTTATAAGTATCATAATTAACTATCACTAAATTACATTTCCAGTAAGAGCTGCGCTTTCAAAGTTTACTAAATTATGGTCTTCAATAGTAAATGTATTACCCATAGATTATACACTTAATATATTTGTATTACCCATAGATTATACACTTAATATATTTGAGAATTATACACTCAATCAGTGTGACCAGATTTAAATCGAACAATAAGCCAGTTACTCGTATAAATTCTGCTTATTTTCAAATCTGCAACACAATCTGCTAAACCTTAAATTGGGGGTCTAATTCTGCTAAAATCGCAGAATTCTGCTAAATTTGGTCACACTGCACTCAATATAAAATTTGATAATAGGTAGGTACTTATCTTGTGAAATAAGTGTATGGACTTTTTGGCGGGAGCGCGAGGAGTGAAGTTGTGTGAGTTGTTTTATTTTGTCTATTTAGTGTTTTCAGGTTTAAATGTGTAAATGAACAAGAGAGGGAGAGCTCATCCCTCTCCGCACCTATTCGTCGCCGCCGAGCCGGGCGGCCCCTGTAGATGACGGCTTCCCCTCGGTGAAAGTCAAGGGGCGACCTGAGGGGGTAGAGGCCGCGCGGCGCGCTATCAACACTCTAGCGCGCTGCCAAGGAGTTACGAAAGAGCGACCGGTTGGCGGTGTATCGCGTCCCGACCCAGCAGGCTGGTTCTGATCTAGCGGGGTATTCCGGGACACCAGCGGCACCGTCTGGGCGGCCTGACGGGCTGCCGTACCGAGACGGCCGACGTTTCAGAGCCTTCGATTCGCCTCGAAGGCTCCGTCGGCGGGCGTCCTTGGGATGAGCCGCGCTGTCTGGTTGTAGTGTTGACCGCGGTAACCCCTCTACCTCATCCGGGTTCTGACCTCGGAGGGGATCGGACGTCGGGTGTAAGAGTGCAGGGGAGTCGTTTAGTGGGTGGGCCCGCGATCTGCTCTCAACACCTGCAGATCGTTGAGTCTCACATACCCCACGCCCCCCTTATGCGCGGGGACCTCGTAGGAGGTTCGGCCCCGGCCTGAAAAAAAAAAAGGTTTAAATGTGTAATAACGGTGGTTTATTAACTATTTAATATCTGTGAAAGTGCACAAATGTGGGAAAATGAAACAAAGCCGCTGGACGTAACTTCTCGGGATACTCCAAAATATCCACTGAAAAAATCTCAATAAATGACCACCATTTTACTGAGATTACATATCATCCCATATCATCTCATTTAATTTCATTGCAGCTAATTAATGTCCCAAATTAATCATCTTCATTTAATGTCATTTCACTCCATATTATCATTTTTCATAAAAATAAGAATATAAATTAAAATAAGACGACTTAAAGGTCTTAGTTACCAGGTCATAAAATCCCTTAAAAAAATAAGTGTATTAACTATGATTACTGTAGGCAGTGCTTCCAGGTGAATGAAGTTAGCCCCTCAAAAAAATTTTTTTTTCCTGTTTTCTACTTATTTTCTATTAATTCGTTTGTTCATCATTTGTTCTTGATTGTTCATTGTTAATAATTGTTTGTTCCCCATTTATTTATTTTAAAAAAAATATTAAAAATATATCTAAAAGTTAGCCCCTCGATTGCAATTTTTAATATTTTTTCGTCCTTAATTACTCGTAAATATTCATTTTCGATTGTTCTTATATAAAATACGTTTGTTCTCTTTCGAAATTACTCATTTTTTGTTTAATTAATNAGAACCGCAGCGCAGAGCTCTAGTCTCGGCAATGAAACTCTCTTAATTGGGGCCACGCGAGACTTAGCATATAAAAGGATACTCCTATGACCATTATGTAAGTAGTCCAGCATGAAGTCCGAATACTGCTGATGAAGGTTTGGACTTGAAAGAAGTCTTCGTTCCAATGAATGGAATCTTCGCAATGTATTTTCACGCGAACCCGGAAGTGTAACTCCCCATCCCTCTGCCCAAATGGCAAAGAAACGATGTACCTGCCAGATGTATCTCGAGCGTGGGTTTCAGTGTAAAGTTTCTCACATCGCTGCTCGTCTGGCGTTAGAACTGATGATTTAGGTATGACCTCCAACTCCTACAGTGTCCTCAATTCCTCATGGAGAGGAGGATCATGCTCTCTTACAAAAGAATTTGAGTGTTTTATCTCATCCCTGCATTTGACACTTCCCATCAGGATCCATCCGAAGATGGTGTTCAAGGCTGAGGGTTCATGAGGACTACCTGAAATATTTCCGGGCAGTAACAGCGTTGAAAATATTTCAGCACCGATAAGCAGATCTATTGGACCAGGCTTATTATAATTCGGATCAGCGAGTCGCAAATTACGTAGGTGTTCGCATGAAGAAAGATCAAGACGAGCAGTGGGCATTTGTGCACAAATAGATGGTAAGATGAGAGCCGTTAAATTAAATAAATTCCTTTGATGAACTCCGAGTTGAAGCTCCACCATTCCAGTCACTGACGTCGATGATTGCCACAAGCCACAAACATTTCGCGAAGTTTGCTTAGGCTTTAAGCCCAATCGTTCCATAGCTTGATTAGAAATGAAATGTGATTGACTACCAGGGTCGATGAGTGCGCGAAGAGTATGAAAGTGACCAGATGAGTCGCGCACTTCAACGTTAGCAGTAGCCAGCAGAACTACAGAGCTACCATTCATGTTTGTAAAAGCCTGCGTTTGTGGCTCTTGACTAGAAGAANATAGGGTGGACGTGGGCGGTCTTCCATGAAGACGGAACCCTGTTAGTGCAATAAGAGAGGCGATACAAACGCGTTAGCGCAGGTGTCAGCTCAGGGGCGCACGTTTTCAAAACCACTGCGGGGATGCCGTCTGGCCCACTCGACTTATGGACGTCCAGGAGTCGGAGCTCCCGCCTGACTGCACACTGTGTGAAGCAGATAT